GTTACTGCTTGTATAGATATTTTTCAGTCAATATATGTATATGCATTTTGAGGCCTATTTTGTGTTGGTCATGCACATTGAGATTATATATTTTTTTTTTGACACATGACATGATGTGAATGTTCACATCACAGAATGATCGTACACTTTCTTCTATTTTAAACCATACTACATGGATGTGAATATTGCTTAAAGTGTTCATGTAACACAATATGACAGGTGTGAGTATGATATTTCTTAACACAAGTCAATATTCACATCTAATAATTTGATGATGTGAATATTCACATCATAACTTCTGATTATGCGAATGGCAACAATGATGTCATGAATATTCACATCTTATGAGTTGATGATGTGAATGGTTACATTGATGTAAACATTCATGTCATCTACTTTGATACTGTTAACAGTAACAACAATGTGAACATTCCCACTACAGAAATGTTTGAAAGTTCAACAATGTGAACATTCACATAATGTGATTATATTACACAAGTGTGAATGTTAACATCATGCATTCATCCAAAAAACAACCAACATAAATGTCAGATTGGTACCTTAAAAAAGTGAAAATAAAACACAAATCAAATACTAATGCATTATTATGTTTGCCAACGCAACGTAATCTTATTGCAACCCAATATTTGCCAACACAACACAATCTTATTTCAAAAATGAATATAAGAATCCAATGTAAATTACAATGTTGAAATGAAAAAAGGTACATCCTATATCGGCTCCGTGCATGATTTTCGATTATGGCTCCCCAACTTATCACATCTCTCGCACCTTATTTGCTTCAGTTTCTCATCCCTTGATGGGAACCTATTCTTCTTCGGCCTTCCGGGTGGTCTTTTCACAGTTGGCGGGTATATAGTGAAGTCCGTGGGTTCAAAAGATGGCTTCTTCACCGATGGTATAAGGAATATGGCTCCTGAATAGGCTGCACAATATGTCTCTACATGAAAGTAATGTTCTACACAATCATTGAGATTGTGGCGGCTCTTCTGAATAGCAATAACATCATGGTCACATGGGAATCCGTTGATTTGCCATTTGAAGCAAGAACATGTACGTCTCGCAACATTAACTGTAACAGATGGTATCGAATGAACTTTAAACACATCCTCGTTGGCTTTGCTAACTTGCCAAGACTTGCTGTCATTGAACGAATCCATAAGCCTTGTTTCGAATGTCGGACAAATAAGCTCATTCCATTTGTTTGCTTGGTCACACTGTGTAGACATTTGCCGCATCAACTGAGTATGAATTGTGTCCACCATTTGAGTGATAGGAAGATTACGTGCATCTTTAATCCAGTTATTAAATGACTCCGCCGTATTGGATGTCATCTCCCCATAACGCATGCCCCTGCACAATAGAGTGAAACATATTTTCAATGATAGTAGTACTAGTGACCACACCGTTGAATCTGTATGATCATAATTATAAATAGAAGAAATTATATAGACAAAAAATAAAAAAATAAATTCAATTTTTTGGTGTACAAAAGAACAGGAAAGCAGACATTTGCCGCATCAACTGAGTACGAATTTTGTCCACCATTTGAGTGATAGGAAGATTACGTGCATCTTTAATCCAGTTATTAAATGACTCCGCCGCATTGGATGTCATCTCCCCATAACGCATGCCCCTGCATAATATCGCAAACATTGTACAATACGGAATTTAACAGGTCTGACCATTCACGTTGACAGATGTGAACATTCACAGTACTGACATTAGTATACACTGTTGTGAACATTCACATCAGGGTATAATAATGTGAATGTTCACATTGTATGCTTATTATGTTGTCAACTTAAATGATAGACAGATGTGAATGTTAACAACAACAACAAAATATGACACATGTCAACATTCAAATCTGTAATACATTGCATGACTATTTGAAAAATTAACAGATGTGAACATTCACATCAGTCATCATTAGCAGAAGTGAACATTCACATCATTTACATTGAACATGAAACACAATTCGAAGATTGTTACCATTCTAAACTGAAAATTCACATCGCTACCATTCTAAACCTCCACAAATGGAACACCTTAGGAAACTATTATTACCTGAAGTATGAATTTGTCCAGTGCTCAGGTGCCAAGTCCTTGAAAAAATTATGAGCTCGTTGTTTTCCCTCCTCTTTTAATTTTGCAAGCTTTTCATGGAACCCTACCACAGTTGGCTCGTAGGCACAGTCACCCAAACTACTTACTAGGTAATCCCTGAATCCATTATCAATTCCTTTCATCCGGTCTCTTAAATTGCTCTTTAAGTGCTGTAAGCAATAACCGTGATGAGCCGATGGGAACACCTTTGGCATAGCTTCTAACTGACCAAGATTACGATCCGAAATAAAAATAATATGGCGCTTCCCATCAACAACCTTCCCAAGTTCATGCAAGAACCACGACCAATTGGTCGTGGTCTCTGAATCAACAATCGCAAATGCAACAGGAAACAGACCTACAACACAACACCAATACACAACTGTTCACAATATTCCAAAGTGAATAGAAAACAGTATAAACGAAACAGGTCATGTGAATATTCATATTTACATTGCCCTATTTACTATTGTTATTTTTAGATTCAGGTTCGTAAACATCAACGATGTGAACATTCACATTAACGACTATTAATAATTCATTGTTGATTGTTGAGTCACTGGCAATGTTAACATTCACAGTACTGTTCATTAATGGATCAACTAACATTAGTATACACTGATGTGAACATTCACATCAGTGCATACTAATGTCAATGTTCACATTACTTATAATTTACCAATCACTCTTTTGTCCAGACTATGCTGCTCAGAGTGAATATTGACATGAATAGATAGCTAAAAAAAACTACTAACCATTGTTTCCGTCTTTCGCCGTTGCCGCAAGTAGCTGACCTTTGTACTTTCCTTGGAGGAATGTTCCATCTAGGAATAATAAAGGCCGACAAGCATTGAACCCAGAAATACACACAGCGAATGACACAAAGAAGCGACAAAACTGTTGACTACTCGCATCATAGTCAATATTGACATAACTCCCCGGATTGTACCGCATCACGGCATCCGAATACCACCGCAGCTGGTCAAACGATAACGAGTGATCTCCATGAATACCAGCCTTTGCTTTCTCCACACCCAACCATACAACATGGTAACTCACATCTAGCCCATAATCCCTCTTCAAAATAGTCACCACCTCACACGGCCGAGTCAACGGCTTGTTCTTCACAATTTCAGATATGGTACTCGACACCAAATCCGAACTAACTCGCGAATTCTTCGATGTTCGGACATCCGTACCACAAGTATGCACATCACTAAACCTCTTGATGTAGAAAAAATCATTTGCTCGTTGTGCTCTACAATGTATAGCCCACAAGCAGCCCCTCTCCTCCCGCATCGCACACACAGCAGTAACTCTTGTTGTCTCGTTCTTCACGTATGTAAACTTAAACCCACATTGGATGGCATACTTACATAAAATGACACGAAATTCTTGTACACCTCCAACAAACCGTTGTCCCACATGCGTAATACCATTTGTCCAAGGGGCTGACAACAACACCTTCTCTTTATGGTGGCAAAATCTCCATAGTGCATCAATTTCTTCCTCAACCCCCACACGTAGCAATACCAAACTACTTGACTGACCAATATCACTTTTCAACTCAACCACAACTTCTACATGTTGTACCCCTATTGATTTAGCAAGTAGTAACATGTTCTGAAATTCTTCCTCATTGTCCAAATCACATTTATTAATCCCTGGTAGTTTACAGAACAATGAAATAGAACCAGCAGACAACTCATCCCATTTCTCATACAAACACTCCACCAAACGAGAATGACACATTGCGCGGGCAACATTTATTACAGTTGTACTACAACCATATGTACACACCAACAGCATAAAGGTATCCATCTCCTGTAAAAACACAAAAACACAACAATGAACAATAATCAAAATCGATATGAAAATTCACATTGTGCAAAAAATAGATGACTACGTGTACAGTTCAAGTGCTAAATCCATAATTCACAATACAAAGATGTGAACATTCATATTGATATTAACAAGATGTCAACATTTACATTGACACATACACTCTGAATTATATCACACACACAGAGCCTCATTAAGAAAACATCAATTTAAAATGAGAACATCCACATTCTTCACATATTCCACATTAACAAAATGTGAACATTCACATTGATATATATACTGATAATCAAATCATTCACAAAGAGCCTCATTACGCATACATCAAAGTAAAATGAGAACTACACATTCTTCACATAATATGAATGAACTCCCCTCCACAGGACCACGTAAAATGCATATAATTGAAAAAACAGAGCATCCAATCCATATCAATCCAAAAACAGAGCATCTGATCCATTATACGAATGAAACCATAAACTGAACATGTATTCATAACCAAATTGATACTAACCTTAATCGTGCAATCCTACAATCGTCCAGAAAGTCGAAAAAAACTGATTTGAACTAGTTATAGTCTGGAAAATGTAACAACCGAACACTTTCCTCTTCGTCGTCTTCACTCACAAACCACAGAACCAGACTACAACAGCAAGAATGAAACCCTAGCACAACCAATCCTTGGAACAAGCACGCAAAACATAAACGTATCTCTTGGAATTGGATTGATGATGAAAAGTGTAAAATAGAAACTGCCAAACTGAATCAGCGAAGAAACAGGCACGTAATACGTATTAACACTGTACATATATATATATAGGGTCAAAATAGTCCAACAAATTATATTAAATTAGAAAAATGGACCTTATGGAATAAAAAGAAAAGTTTATGGGACTAATCAGGTTATAATATTCCTTAGTGGACCTAATGGGTTATAACAACTCTAGAATGGATTTATCAATAAAAATCCCTACATATAATAGCTTCTTACTATTGATTGAAATCCAAGGTCCCCCCATGCCTATATATAGAAAAATCATAAACTTGTAATCACAGTCACAAAAAAACAATATCACATTTCATTCTCTATATCCAAAATGTATGAACAATCCATCTCAGACTCCGACTTTGCTCTTCTTGAATCGATCCGCAGGCATCTCCTCGACGATTCTGACTTCTCGAAATATTTTCCGATGATGGGTCCATGCAATACACCACTGGTTTATGATCTGAGTTCGAGTTTTACTGCTTGCCAAGCAATGCAATTAAATGTAGATGGCTCGTCGGAGATGATGATTGCGTTTGGAGCAAAGGACGTTACGGAGGAAGAAGTGGTGGCGCGCGGGGTTCACGCGCCTCCCGATTGGAGGAGGTATAGAGGTGTGAGGAGACGGCCATGGGGAAAGTTTGCAGCGGAGATATGGGACCCTATGAGAAAAGGTATTAGGGTTTGGCTCGGGACATACGAGACACCTGAGGATGCTACAATGGCTTATGACCAAGCTGCATTTAAAATGCGAGGCTCGCATGCTAAGCTTAATTTTCCTCACCTTATAGGTTCAGATAAATCTGAGTCGATAAGAGTGAGTCTGAGGCAGCAGCGGTCACTAGAGGCTTCATTATCATATTCTTTGTCGGAAAGTGAATCCCCAAAGCGAAGGAAATGCATGGTTGGGCAGCGCCGGCCGTGGTTAAATCCAAGTTGGATAGTGATTGTGTTGGAAGTGAACACATCAGTTACTTGTAAATTGTTTAATAATAAAGCTAACTATCCCAGAGAACAAAACCAGAATTTGCCTCAAAATATTGAAGTGTGTTATAAGAAACTTGTATTGATGAATCTGAATCATACATTAATATTTTTAGATGATTTAAATAAAATTTCTGAATTTATAATCATTGTATTTTGGTTTATGTTTGGAGAGGTTACAAGCAAAAATATATTTTCTAAAGGAATTGTCTCTCATCACAGAAAAATGGGTAAAAGGTGGCAAGCATTGTACTTTGGTTTATGTTTGGAGAGGTTACTGACAAAAATATATTTTCTAAAGGAATTGTCTCCCATCTAAGAAAAATGGGTTGCATTTTATGTGTAAATCTTAATCGCTGGACTTATTATCCAATAAGTCCTATGATAATTAATAATATTTTTCATCAAACACAGTTAAAAACATCACTAATTGTTAATTTTTAACGACAATTTGAAAATTATCACAAAAATATCACTATTTATAAGTTTTAGTGACCGACAATTTGAAAATTATCACAAAAATATCACTATTTATAAGTTTTAGTGACAGTTTAAAAAAATCGTCGCAGAAAAACGTCACTATTGTAAGTTTTAGCGACAATTTATAAAACTCATGACAAAAAAGTCACTAATTGTTAATTTTTCGCTATATATGCAAAAAATATAACACAAAAAATTATTTTTAGGGACAATTTTATATGGATGTATTTTTAATAGAATTTGATTGGATTTAAGTCCAACTATTACTACAAGAAAATGCACATTTGCCGACCAATTTTGGTGACTAAAACATTTTTAGTCGCCAAAAGTATAATTTTTGGCGACTAAAATTTAATTTGGTCGGCATTGGTTCAATATTTACCTACTAAACTTTTTTAGTCGATAAATATTTGCAATTGGCGACTAAATTTAAATTTAGTCGGCAAAAATTAAATTTTTCAGCGACTAAATAGGATATTAGTCACTGTTAGTGTACAATTTAGCCTAAAAAAATAAATAATCTGTAATATTTCTTTTTCCTGACTAAAATAGTACTTAGTTGCGAAATAGGAATTTTAGCGACCAAAAATTTCGTCGTTGTTGAGTGATAATTCATTACTTTCCCGACTAAGTTCAAAATTGGTCGGCAAAGGTTCAAATTTCAACTCGCGCCACTTAATTAATTGATGTGCACGCGTTGATCTATAGGCAACAGTATCACACACAAGTGAACAACAGTGTATCACACACACCTCACCAAATCTCACAGAACTCAGCCCCCCTTACCGTATTCTACTGTACGGACGACATTGTGACAGTCATCGCCACTGGCGCCAATCACCACCGTCGCAGCCCTTGAATCACAAGCTCTCTCTCTCTCTCTCTCTCTCTCTCTCTCGCTTTCGCGCTCTGCTTCTCAGTCCGTCTGTACGTCTCTTGCTCTCTCGCTCGAGCTCTCTGACACAGTCTATCTATGTATCTATCTGTCTATGTCTTTCTCAATCTCTTTCTCAAAGAGTTAAAAATGTTAAGGGTTAAAAAGAGGGAAAATGACCAATTTAAAATAGGCAGAGTGTAAATTTACCCATTTTAGAAACAATTGTTATATAGGGTCGGTCCAAAGCGGTTAATCATATCATCGAATTAGGTTCTCTCACGATCCACAAGTTCGTTACATTCACACATAACACTGGTACTAGTATATATATATATCATAATCTCTGTAACTAGCAATTTGGCAATTGAGATCTGTGTTTCTCTCTCAAATCATCTTTGACAAAGATGTATGGATTCGAAGCAATCACATTCAACATCTATGGCTGTTACTTGGAAGCGATCGTGAGGGGATACCGATCTGGTTTGCTCACCGCCGCCGATTGCAACAATCTCTGCCAGTGCGAAACCCTAGATGACATCAAGATGCACCTCTCCGCTACCGAATACGGACCCTACCTCCAAAATGGTAACCCTACAACTTCAGATCGATCTCATAGTTGTTCTCAATTCAATGTTTCACTGTGTTAATTGAAGCCCTAGAACGTAATTTAGAATTTGGGTTATGATCTCATTCATGTATGAACTTGTAATTCTCTTTTGGATCAGGGTCTCAGTGTTTCTCAATTGAATTGGGTTCTTCTAGCTGAAATTATTCGTTTCACGATGTTAAATTGAAGTTCTAGAATGTAATCAAGGTGTTTAATTTTGAAATCTATGTTGAAACTTTTATGGAAAGTTTTCAACTAATGTATTGTTTAAGCTAGAAATATACTTGAATCACACTTCAAAATCTAGCTAATGCGTGTTCTATGTCTTCTATTAGCATGAACCAAATCCTAGCCCTAGGTTTAGTAATAGACTATCTCGATCATGGTTATCATGTTACTAATGTAGAGAATTGAATCACATTGACACTCTAGATAGGAGCCATGTCAAAGCATATTGGATGCGCCATAATTTTAAAATAAATTGCATATGAAAAGGATGGCTGAGGAGGCACATATGAAATCAATTCAACTTGATCCAAGTTTCCTTGAGGCATGGGCTCATTTAACATAGGTATTCATAAGTAAATACTCAGTGTAATTGACTTACAATATTCACATTGTGTGATTAATGTGTCTTGTTGTGTGGTAATAATGAAAAGGTGAAATTGATAATACTCTTATTTTGGTGCTAACTGACCAACTTAACTCAAGCAGCCATAATCCTGACTCGAGATTTTTCTGATGTTGTTACTTTTATACACACACACACAAAGAAAGAAAAGAAAAATTCAAGCATAGCTGCAAGTTCATTAACATAGGCTAAACGGACCAGATATTTGTTTAGAGAACTGATATATCTTATGGGCATTTTTTTCCATCTAAAACATTGATTTGAACAGCTCTTTTTCATAATTTTTTGCAACTTAAATCATGAAAGGAAATGTTTTGAGTATTAAAACATAGCCAATAGTTACATTACAAGAAGGGAATCCCCTCTGAAAAAACAACATCCACAACGATAGTAACCCATCTCACTTAATCTGGGAGATGAAAAGAAAAATTCAAGCACAGCTGCAAGTTCATTGACATAGGCTAAACGGACCAGATATTTGTTTAGAGAACTGATATATCTTGTGGGCATTTTTTTCCATCTAAAACATTGATTTGAACAGCTCTTTTTCATAATTTTTTGCAACTTAAATCATGAAAGGAAATGTTTTGAGTATTAAAACATAGCCAATAGTTACATTACAAGAAGGGAATCCCCTCTGAAAAAACAACATCCACAACGATAGTAACCCATCTCACTTAATCTGGGAGATGACAAGCTGGCTAAGCTTACAACAGACCTAATCTGAGCACTAACATTATAAATTTGTTGAGGTATGCATGATTAAGAACATTCATTAGTTTGAAGCCCCCTATTTCCACCCTATATTGTATATATAAAATAAAATAAAAAAACCATGTAGCCCGCACATGACCATTAACAAACTGCATTTTCTCTCTCTGAAAAGACAATTATGTTGTTCTGTTCGGAAAGACCAGTGAGTGTTTTTCTCATATCTTATGTTCCTGCCCAATCAGTTGCTTCTGTTCACTAATAATAGCACAATATCTTACTGTGGTTACTGCTTAATGAAAGAGTGATTTGAATATTTTTTTCTCGGTTGGATTTTTTGATGGCCAACCTTGTGAGGCCCTAAGTAAGCTACATTAGGCGAGAATATGTAGTTAACATCATTTTGAATCACCTTGATATGTTGATATGTGAGCACTGATACTATGTTGTTAAGTCAAGAGTAAATTTGCATGAGATCTTTGTAGTTTTAGAAGAACTCTGGCTAGACCTCACATCATTGTTAGTTCTAGAACTTTTTAGCAATACTGTTGTAATGGTAGTTTTCCAGCTGCTTTAACTTTCTCTATGCACTGTAGTAGGATATGAAGTTTTTCGGGTTCAATGAAGTGGTCTTTAATATTTTGTTTTAAAGTATCATCATCCATTAAGGTGGTTTTTGGTTCTTCAAGTGGTAATTGGAGTGGGGAAACGCTGTGAGTTTTTAAGAATCTTGCCTTGGAATTTACTGTAACATAATGCATTTTTAATCTGTATTATACAACTGTGGCAAATCCATTGTGTTGTGGATGTGTCTTATGGTGGGTTTTGCAACCTTCCATTTAGGGACATGTACGCTTGTAATGTGAAGTCCATATGATTCTCTTGGCATTGTTCTATTTGATTGGCAAAAGTGAGTTGGAGAAGGTGGATACTCAGGGGGATCATTTAAATAACTTAAGGGAGTCTCAATCTTACTACAAAATCAAGGACATACATATAGTCATTTTTTTAGATTTGCAATTGTAATACATTAAGCAATCTTCTAGGGCGAAAACTTAGTCGAAAAAGGGCATTTCGGAGGCGAAAATGTAAAACAGCCCCCGAACCTCCGTGTGGCTGAAATGAACAGTTTTCCCATGCCAAATATGACTTGTGACAACTGACGGAATGTAATTCGGACCTATAGGTTGGGATTTATAGACGAATACGCCCAAAACTTAGTCGAAAAAGGACGTTTCGGGGGCGAAAATTCAAAACAGCCCCCGAACCTCCGTGTGGCCGACACGGGCAGCTTCCCCATGCCAAATAGGACTTGTGACAACTGACAGAATGTTATTCGGACCTATAGGTTGGGATTTAGAGCCGAATACGCCCAAAACTTAGTCAAAAAATGGCGTTTCGGGGGGAGAAATTCAAAACAGCCCCTGAACTTCTGTGTGGCCGAAATGAACAATTTTCCCATGCCAAATATGACTTGTGACAACTGACGGAATGTTATTCGGACCTATAGGTTAGGATTTAGAGCCAAATACACCCAAAACTTAGTCGAAAAAGGGGGTTTCGGGGGCGAAAATTCAAAACAGCCCCTGAACCTTTGTTTGTCCTACACGGGCAGCTTCCCCATGCCAAATAGGACTTGTGACAACTGACGGAATGTTATTCGGACCCGTAGGTTGGGATTTAGAGACGAATACGCCCAAAACTTAGTCGAAAAATGGCGTTTCGGGGGCAAAAATTCAAAACAGCCCCCAAACCTCCGTGTGGCCGACATGGGCAGCTTCCCCATGCCAAATATGACTTGTGACAACTGACGGAATGTCATTCGGACCTATTGGTTGGGATTTAGAGCCGAATACACCCAAAACTTAGTCGAAAAAGGGTGTTTCGGAGGCGAAAATTCAAAACAACTCCCGAACCTCCGTGTGGCCGACACAGGCAGCTTCCCCATGCCAAATATGACTTGTGACAACTGACGAAATATTATTCGGACCTATAGGTTGGGATTTAGAGCCGAATACGCACAAAACTTAGTCGAAAAAGGGCGTTTCGGAGGCGAAAATTCAAAACAGCCCTCGAGCCTCCGTTTGGCCGACACGGGCAGCTTCCCCATGCCAAATAGGACTTGCGACAACTGACGGAATGTTATTTAGACCCGTAGGTTGGGATTTAGAGCCGAATACGCCCAAAACTTAGTCGAAAAATGGCGTTTCGGGGGTGAAAATTCAAAACAGCCCACGAACCTCCGTGTGGCCGAAACGAACAGTTTCCCCATGCCAAATATGACTTGTGACAACTGACGGAATGTAATTCGGACCTATAGGTTGGGATTTATAGACGAATATGCCCAAAACTTAGTCGAAAAAGGGCGTTTCGGGGGCGAAAATTCAAAACAGCCCCCGAACCTCCGTGTGGCCGACACGGGCAGCTTCCCCATGCCAAATATGACTTGTGACAACTGACGGAATGTTATTCAGACCCGTAGGTTGGGATTTAGAGCCGAATACGCCCAAAACTTAGTCGAAAAATGGCGTTTCGGGGGCGAAAATTCAAAACAGCCCCCGAACCTCCGTGTGGCCGAAACGAACAGTTTCCCCATGCCAAATATGACTCGTGACAACTGACGGAATGTTATTCGGACCTATAGGTTGGGATTTAGAGACGAATATGCCCAAAACTTAGTCGAAAAAGGGCATTTCGGGGGCGAAACTTCAAAACATTCCCCGAACCTCCGTCTGACTCTCATGGGAAGCTTTCCCATTACAAATAGGACTTGTGACAACTGACGGAATGTTTTAAACTTGCTAATTTTGTGAATGCACACACGTGTGTTATTATTTTTATCACATGTTCTAATATCCACTCTGAAATGGCACTGACATACATTAATCAGCACCGATGGTTTTATATCCAATCTAATGATTCAAGTGCCTTTTGCAAACAAATAATGAGGAACTTGGTAAAAAGAATACTTTCTATTCACATTGGGCTTTGATATTGGTTTAGCCATAGAATTTGGCATACATGTTGCATACAAATGGAAGATTGTTACATTAGTTGTATGTTACTAATGAAAGATTTAGTAATGATTGTTCTGCATTTAACAATGTTCCTTATAACAAAAGACTTTAGAAAGACTGTACAATGACTGATAATTGATTCATCATGGAAGGTTGCTTCTCACTTATATTTATTTGTCACTTGTTCCCAAATTCATTCATGAAGTTGGGCATTTTTGGGTCCAATTCTAATGTTTTTTTTTTTGTTTTTTGTAGATGACTTCGTTGCGTGGACTTGCAGAGATATTTTGGTGTATGGAGAAGAAATTGTACTTTTGTCATCTCCAGCTTTTGTGCAGTTAACTATTCCTGATATAGAAAACTATTGGCAGCGAACAGATAATTATTGACATGGTAGATAGATCACCTTTTGACGCCGTCCACTAAATTGATTTTTTTGTTGTGGTACATTGATGAATTTTTGGCTTGGTACATACATCACCTTTTGTCGTGGTACTGATTACGATGATAATTTGTACCATGCCAAATGATCATTTCACATGGTATAGTAAATGTAATTTTTGTATATGGAGGGCCTTACTTTTTGTATGATTTAATATGTTGTATGGAATTATTATTTTAGTTTGGACAATAGTTCGCTTGTATATATATGGACAGTTAAAGTAATTTATTTTTTGCATACGGATGCAGATTGTGGAATGATTGATAATTTATGTATCATTTTATTAATATGTATTACAGGTTGAATGGAATACATATAGGTTATGGACACATTATAATATTAGCAATAAAACATAATATCATGTTTTTGTCGACTAAACGTTTTGTAGCCAATAAAAAGGGGGAAAAAAAAAACAAACATTTGGCTACTAAAAGTTTTGTAGCCAAAAGAAAATCAAACATTTGGCTACTAAAATTTTTGTAGGCAAAAGAAAAACAACCATTTGGCTACTAAATGTTTTGTAGCTAAAAGAAAATCAAATCTTTGGCTACTAAAAGTTTTGTACCAAAAAAAAAAATCAAACATTTGGCGACTAAAATATTTTGTAGCTAAAAACAAAAGTTGAAGAATAAATATGACTTTTGGCGACTAAAAATTTAGTAGCCAAAAATGTCATAGTTTACGTGACTAAATTTTTAGTAGCCAAAAGAAATAGTATTTGGCGACTAAAATTTTAGTAGCCAAAAAAGATTGACTTTAGACGACTAAAATTTTAGTAGCCAAAACACTAGTATTTGCTTTTGGCGACTAAAAAATTTAGTAGCTAAAAATTTTTCAGCCACTAAATAATTGGCTTTTGGCAACAAAAAAAATGGTCGGCAAAAATGTATTTATTTAATTAATTTTTAAACCTATTGGCGACTAAATTAGGTTTAGTCGGCAATTATATTTCCCGACTACTCATTGGCTACTAATTTTCCGACCAAAAAATTTAGTCGCGAAAGACTATAGGCGACTAAAATATGACTTTTGGCGACTAAAAATTTAGTCGCCAAAAGTGAAAATTCTTGTAGTGTATTAGGACCTATTGATAGTTTATCATTAAAAAAAAAAGATGATTAAATTTTAATAGGAATTTTCTTAAGATGATCAATATACTAGATGCATGTTGCCTTGCTGTATCTGGGGATGCCCTTAGGGGCTAATCCTAATTGTAAAGCTACTTGGTATCCAGTGTTGGACAAGGTTAGAAGCAGACTAGCTAGCTGGAAAAGAAAGCTTCTATCCTATGCTGGTAGGCTTACTCTTATTAAATTTGTCTTGGCATCTTTGCCTGTGTACTATCTTTCTCTGTTTAAAATGCCTGATGGGTTTGCTAGAGTGATAGAGAGGTTGCAGGCTTCATTTCTTTGGGAAGGCCTAGAAGTTAGAAGAAAAGTTCATATGGTCAAATGGTTAGAACTCACTAAAAGCTTGGAACAAAGAGGTCTGGGATTGAGAAGAGTGAAGGTGGTTAATTCTTGTTTACTAATTAAATGGTAGTGGAGATTTGGGTATGAAGAGAATGCATTGTGGAGAAGTGTTATTTGAAGTAAGTATAAAATGGACTTCCGAGATTGGATTCCTTCTCCTACTTCCACTAGCAATATGTCTAGTGTTTGGAAAGGTATTATTACCACTGCAGAGTTTAATAGTACCCTCTTGGAGTATTACTTAAATAACTTTTTGATTAAGATTGGGAATGGGAATAATGTTCGATTCTGGGTGGATAGATGGTGGAATAGTTCTTGTCTTAAAGATGAATTTCCTGGTTTGTACTGCTTGGTGGTGGATAAGGAGGAATCACTTAGATCCATGTTTGACAGAAAGGTTTCTGAAGGGAATTGGGAGTGTCAGTTCAGAAGAAAGTTGTATGATTGGGAGGTTTCTGAGGTTATCAGGCTCAGAAACTCTCTTGTGGCAGCTTCAATCTGTGTAGTAGATCAATCTAATTACCTTGTATGGAAAGCATCATCCTCAGGGGAGTTCTCAGTGCGCTCTATTTATCAAGGTTTGTTAGCTTCAGCTGGCCCTCAATTAAGATTAAGCAAACTAGTGTGGCTTTCTTATATGCCTCCTAAAGTCCAATTTTTTACTTGGCTAGCTTGGAGAGACAGAGTTAAGACATCAGTATTCCTCCATAGAATTGGTGTCCTTCCCAGTAATGTTTCAACATTGTGTGTTTTTTGTAAGTCTGAGAATGATTCAATGAATCATGTGGTGGTTTCTTGTCCCTTTGTTTGGAGGGTGTAGTCTGCAATGTTAGAATGGTGGGATCTTGAAGGGGCTCTACCTGACTCTGTTGAAGGTATTCTCTTATGGTAGGATGGTCAATGGTTTAGGAGGGTAGAAAGGAAGATCTGGAGAGGGATCCCTTTGGCTGTGTTGTGGTCTGTATGGAAGCACCAGAATGATTGTGTGTTCAATGCATATGTTCCTAATATAGTAGAGCTATGTGAAGTGATAAAGGTGAGGATTGCATTATGGTTGAATCCTAGTTACTCTAAGTATCTTTTTCCAGTGCAGGATTTCTTGCTTAATCTTAGGCAAGTGAGATGTTGCCTTAGAGGGAGATGTGTGTAACTTTCACAGCTGTTTTGTGTTTTTGTTCCTTGTGTTATCTGTGTTTTCTTTTTTGTGGTTGGGCTCTCTCCAACTTGGAATTGGCTTGTATAGCTTTGATGCTCTTAGCTCCTTCAGTCTTTGTTGATGTTCATCTCTGTAATTGTATTATTGGTTGGTTTACATCAATAAAGGTTTTTTGGCAGTTTCAAAAAAAATACTGGATGTATGCTGAGTCTTAAGAGATAAAATGAAAACTTGAAAGCCACAAACAATCACTCAAGGAACTTTAAAAAGAGAAATAGTAATAGCAAAAAAGTCCCAAAATCTTTTGAGACAATAATTTTATCAATGAGTTATATTATAAGGTTTTAAAATATTACTTTCAAAATTTACTCATATCAATATAATAGTGATTTGAATTTTAATTGATTGATTCTAAAATAAGTTAACAAACTATGAACCTATGGGGAAAGACGGGCCTCATTCACTGCTGAGAGAGGGTTACGGCAGGGTGACCCTCTTTCACTTTATTTGTTTGTTTTGGTGGCGGACGTCTTATCGCTTATGATTTTGCGAATGATGTATGAGAATCAGTTGGATAGTATTAGACTTAAGAGGAGTTGTCCCATACTCTCTCACTTCTTCTATGTTGATGATGTCCTTATTTTCTCTACTGCAAATGCTTCTCAAAGTTTAGTCCTTAAGTCTATTCTTGATGATTATTGTAGTGCCTCGGGACAGCTTGTTAGTTTTGATAAATCCAGCATCATTTTCTCTGCTAATACCCCTATGTTTGTCCAAAACGATATTTGTACATCCATGGGCATTCCTTTGACTAGTGCGAAACAATACCCTCCTAACCGTGTCGCTCATTGGGTTGCCTCTATGAACCTAAAGAGCTCGCTTCCTTTAGACTGCGTTGCACATCCCCCTTGTAAGCTTTCTGCTCTTTTATCTGCAGATGTTCTGTAAGCCGTTTAGCATTTCCATGTTAAAAAAAAAAAAAACTAACATCCCATCACAGTCCTTGAGAAAGAAAAGTGTGAAACAATATCTTCTTATACAAATAACTTTTCACATTAAAAAATTCAATATTCAAATTTTCAGATATCAAGTTACAATTTTTAATTTTTACAAAAACAATTTAAGTTTTGGATTAATATCAATATAATCACGTGAACGTCGAGTATTTATATATTACTATTAAAGTTTCCTTTGTTGTAAACTGACATGTGTGTGGGGTCACATGGCAGTGGCAAGTCAGAGCAGACAGTCATTATTGGAGGACAATTTACACCAAAGATTCCAACTTGATAAATAAATACAAATTTAATTTTTTTTTTTAAATTTAAAATTAAAAAGAGGAGGAGAAGCAGGGGCAGGAGGAGTAAAGACTTGCGTGGTTGTTTAATAATATATATTAATGGCCACACCTGACAGTATCTGGATTGCATTGTTAATCAATGCTTTATATATCGAGGAAGATATATATCATATATAAATTCATTAACATGCATAATCAAATTCAGTTAAATTTTATTTTTATTTAAACAATGTTGAACCGAGTCATCATGTTGGTCGGTTTGTATAAAATACATATATATTTATTCTCAATGAGTTTTATATTTGCTTTTGTTTTTATGTGAATATTCAATTGTATTCAATTGTGTAGAGCATGATATTTTAATTTAAATAGACATGGACTTAAACCGGTGTTTTTGTGGAGTCAAAACCCAAATCATTTCAAATCACAAAAATAGTTTGTTTATGTTACACGGTAATTTTTTAATGTTTCCATATGTAGCAATTACGAGGTGATTAGAAGTATTCAAAATTTATTTATAAATAAATGACAAAATAAGTCGATTGAAGTTCTCAATCATTCAAACAAAAATTTCCAGCAAAGAAGCGTAAATAAATGGGAGGAAATTACAATTCATTGCAATTTCTTAAAAATAATTAAGATTAATAATAAATTTTAGAGTTAATTATCTAAAAGTTATTTTTACAAATATTATGGTCGCTTAGATCTTATCTAAGATTTTTTGAACCAATAAGTCATATTTAGTAAAACTGATAATATTATCAGTTTTTCCTAATTTTTAAAATTAAAAACATTATCAATTTTGCATAGTAATGTTTCAGATAATTGTTTCACTAAATGATGAAAAAAACTGAGCCTGAAAAAAACGGAGCATGAAATTAAACATTTTTGCCCTTCTATTTATTGGTTTGATTTAACTATCTAATAAAATCGAGAATATTATCAATTTTTTCTAGTTTTAAAATTGAAAATATTATTAGTTTTTTTTTTAAGCTTTTCTTTTTTTAAAATTTTTTCAATTTTACAAATCAATGTTTCATATTCTTAGGAATGGATTAAGAGTGCTCAATTAGAATTTTTAAGTATTATTCATAATATTATATGGGTATGAATCTCATATGCACAAATCAACTTGTAGTTTCTTGCTTACAATTTCAATAACCAAATCGAGAGAGACGGGAAGGAAGAGCTTAAGAGAGACAGAGAGACAGAGATCGATACCTCGCTGGTGCAGATGGCGTGGCGGTGCAGATGGTGGTGGTGATGGGGCTTCGAAATCGAAATTACAGAGTCAGATGAAATCGAATCAGAGAAATCGAGCCGGTGCAGACGATGGAGCTTCGAAATGGAAATCGCTTTGAATCTCAAAGATGAATCTGTGAGAAAGATAGGGTTTAGAGATGAATTGAGAGATGAGAACTTCAATTAGGGCTACAGCGAGAGATGAATCGATCCGTTGAGACGGCTTAGAGAGAGAGAGAGAGAGAGCGCGAGAGAAAGACTGAGTGAGTGAGATTAGGGCTACAAAATATGTATTACATTTTATATTCACCGCTCGCGCATTTAAGAGAGAGAGAGAGGGAGATAGGACATTCGAAGGCGTTTTCAAACGCCTTTGTTATTGAAACGACGCCGTTTTGATTTGAAAAAAAGTGACGTTTAAAAAACGTCATTAAATATTACGTCGTCAAAACTCATTTTTCTTGCAGTGGTGGAGTCAAAACCCAAATCATTTCAATTCACAAAAATAGTTTGTTTATGTTACACGGTAATTTTTTAATGTTTCCATATGTAGCATTTACGAGGTGATTAGGAGTATTCAAAATTTATTTATAAATAAATGACAAAATAAGTCGATTGAAGTTCTCAATCATTCAAACAAAAATTTCCAGCAAAGAAGCATAAATAAATGGGAGGAAATTACAATTCATTGCAATTTCTTAAAAATAATTAAGATTAATAATAAATTTTAGAGTTAATTATCTAAAAGTTATTTTTACAAATATTATGGTCGCTTAGATCTTATCTAAGATTTTTTGAACCAATAAGTCATATTTAGTAAAACTGATAATATTATCAGTTTTTCCTAATTTTTAAAATTAAAAACATTATCAATTTTGCATAGTAATGTTTCAGATAATTGTTTCACTAAATGATGAAAAAAACTGAGCCTGAAAAAAACGGAGCATGAAATTAAACATTTTTGCCCTTCTATTTATTGGTTTGATTTAACTATCTAATAAAATCGAGAATATTATCAATTTTTTCTAGTTTTAAAATTGAAAATATTATTAGTTTTTTTTTTAAAGTTTTTCTTTTTTTTAAATTTTTTCAATTTTACAAATCAATGTTTCATATTCTTAGGAATGGATTAAGAGTGCTCAATTAGAATTTTTAAGTATTATTCATAATATTATATGGGTATGAATCTCATATGGCGTGAGTTTTATTCCTATGTAAATATTATATAAAATATTTCATAATTTTTTTTTTTTTTGAAATCGTTAGCTTTGCTCTTGTAATAATTGTAGTGACGTCGTTTAACCGCTAGTGAACGGAAGAGAGAAAGTGCGGAGAAGAAGAGTGTCTCACATGTTTACGTACTTTCATGAAAAAACGTATAATATTGTTCTAAATAGCGTAATTTTATTTATAAATTACAAATTATTGTAATTTTATTAAAATGTTATATAATATTTATTACAAAAATTATATAATATATAAATATACGAATGGCGCTATATCCCCTAATAAATCACTTCTATTTCGATCTTTAATGAGATGGAAAAGAGAGAGAGAGTATAGAGAAAGATAGAGAGATGAGTGTGGTTCACTTAGGGATGTAATTGGTTTAGAACAGTCAGTATTTAGATGAAATTTTACACTGAACCAATAATGTCAGTTCTATTATATTGAGAAACGATACAGATCGAATTTTTTACTAAACTGCACCAAATCGCACCAATTCAAACGGCTAGGCTCGGCACGGTTTGCCGCTTACGACCTTTCAAATTTGAGTTACTTCTTAAATTTGTAATATAGTAAATAATTTATAAAAAAATATTGAATTAGCTATTTGTGCATTACTCAATATTCAATACAACTACTCACAAAAGAATTAATGAATACTGTTTAAGCTTTTACTGAAGAAGAATTGGGATTGTTTGGGATGACCTAAAAAAGTGTACTTTTTGTCTTTTTACTAAAAGATGTGCAGAAAAGTAGAGAAGTGATGTGATGGAAAAAAGATAAAAAGATAAAAAGATGGATTATTTTGTATATGCCAAACTTGGCCATAATTTGAAAACTAAAGTCTTGATACCGGAGAAAAATCAAAATTTAGGCCAAGTTTGGCATGAGGCAAAAAAGACAAAAAGTCAAAAAGTCACTATCCTATTTAAGTCAATCATCTTATTTAAGTCACATCACCTCTCTAACACATCACTTCAAACCCAACCCAATCCCAACCCATATTTCATAAAAAGTCAAAAAGTGCACTTATTTAGTCTTCCCAAACTAGGCCTTAAAACTATCACCCCATAAGATTAATTCACAAGTCTATCAAGTAGAGTTAAAACAAAAAACTGAAAACGACATAAACATCTAATGTAACTATATAGGCATAGTAGTAGTAAAAATTGACTCAGGCACATATGACTTGTAAACTAACAAATTATCATTGCCATATATATTGTCATACTTGGGTGGGCCGGGCCAATGGGCTTGGGCGGCCTAACCATTTTTTAAAATTTTTTTAATTTCTATTTACCAAAATTTTATTATTTTTTATTAAAAAATACACTGCGCCTTGGGCGGGCCGGGCCGGGCTTCGGGCTGGACCCTAAGCGGGTCATAAGCGGGCTGATGGGCAGGGCTACTGGCCGGGCTTCAAAACAATAGCCTAGGGGCTCGGGACTTGGCCCAAGCATGCCTAAACGAGTCAGGCCCATCTCAGACTGAGGGCCATTTTTACACCCCTAGGTCTAGCATTAAAGCTACAAAAGCAAAAATATATATATAGATATTAAGGTAGTGGGTTTCCTAATATAGTATATATTGGTTCACCAATTGGAGGGTGTTGTTCTAGCTGTAAGATCCAATATGAAGGCTCGAGGATTTAAATAATTTATTTTGTTGGTATTTTATATATTTTATTTATAAAAAAAATTAAACTAATAATTATAAGTTATTTAATTTATTGTGTTTGTCATAAAAAAATGTATGAATTATTTTTTTGTCATCCATTTTTTTTAAATGCTGTAAATTGAACTAGTTAAAATTATCAGATCGACCTAATTTTTTTTTTGTATATGAAATACATAAAGTATTCGATAAAATAAATAATTAAAATTATTAAAATAAAATCTGTAATGAGCCCATATGCCAGAAGAGTACCCCCTCCAATTAAAATTTTGAACAAGGAGATTCTCCTTAAAAAAAAAAAAAGTTGACAACGAATTGTACAAATCAAATGGCAGTGGGTGGAATCTACTACTACATTATTAGTGGTGACTCTAATTAGAATTCTCAAACATTTTTGTTATTTAATTAATAACAAGGTCAAAGTTTGGACATTAAAATATATAAAAGCCAGAGAATCTATGACACTTTATAATAAAAATTATAATATTTACAATAAATTTAACCCAGAAAGGAAAAAACATGTGATTCAAATGTTTAAAACTTTCATTGATATCAATATGAAATTTCACAGAAGCTCTAGAAGCACAAAAAACAATACACGGTGATAATATATATATAATAGCTTCTTACTATTGAATGAAATCCAAGGTCCCCCCATGCCTATATATATAGAAAAATCATAAACTTGTAATCACAGTCACAGAAAACAATATCACATTTCATTCTCTATATCAAAAATGTATGAACAATCCATCTCAGACTCCGACTTTGCTCTTCTTGAATCGATCCGCAGGCATCTCCTCGACGATTCTGACATCTCGGAAAATTTTCCGATGATGGGTCCATGCAATGCACCACTGGTTTATGATCTGAGTTCGAGTTTTACAGCTTGCCAAGCAATGCAATTAAATGTAGATGGCTCGTCGGAGATGATGATTGCGTTTGGAGCAAAGGACGTTACGGAGGAAGAAGTGGTGGCGCGCGGGGTTCACGCGCCTCCCGATTGGAGGAGGTATAGAGGTGTGAGGAGACGGCCATGGGGAAAGTTTGCAGCGGAGATAAGGGACCCTATGAGAAAAGGTATTAGGGTTTGGCTCGGGACATACGAGACACCTGAGGATGCTGCAATGGCTTATGACCAAGCTGCATTTAAAATGCGAGGCTCCCGTGCTAAGCTTAATTTTCCGCACCTTATCGGCTCCGATAAATCTGAGCCGGTAAGAGTGAGTATGAGGCAGCGGCGGTCACTAGAGGCTTCATCATCATATTCTTCGTCGGAAAGTGATTCCCCAAAGCGGAGGAAATGCGTGGTTGGGTAGCGCCGGCCGTGGTTAAATCCGAGTTGCATAGTAATTGTGTTGGAAGTGAACACATCAGTTACTTGTAAATTCTTCAATAATAAATCTAGCTATCCCGGAGAACAAAACCAGAATATGCCTCAAAATATTGGAGTGTGTTATGAGAAACGTGTATTGATGAATTTGGATCACAGATTAATATTTTAAAGATAATTTAAATAAAATTCTGAATTTATAGCTTTAGTGATTGATCCTATGAAGTTGGCAAGCATTGTACTTTGGTTTATGTTTGGAGAGGTTACTAGCAAAAATATATTTTCTAAAGGAATTGTCTCTCATCACAGAAAAATGGGTAAAAGATGCCAAGCATTGTACTTTGGTTTATGTTTGGAGAGGTTACTGACAAAAATATATTTTCTAATGCTGTGTTTGGTTGGAGTTTTTGAGGTGGGATTTGGAAAAGGAATGAGAAATGTAATCTTATTTATGTTTGGTTATAATAAAAAATATATGAGAAAAGAAAGGGGGTGAGAAATAAATAAAGAAATAGGATACCTTTTAGGACATCAATTCTATTTAATAACCAACACAACCAAACATAGTTGGGATTTGGAATTCTATTAATTCTTTCTCCTTTTCCTTTCATTTCCATTTCCCTTTCCATTTCCTTTCCCAAATCCCCCAACCAAACACAGCGTAAAGGAATTAATTGTCTTCCATCTAAGAAAAATGGGTTACATTTTACCGTCAGCACCTTTGTATTTTTATTATAATTTTATTTTACTTGTTTCATTTCTAATTTTGACAATTATTTATTTGTATTTGAAATCAATTTACAATGTGACCATTCAGTTTATCCACCTTTAATTAGACTGATCGACCGCATCATGTAAACTAAACATACATTTTTTCTTCTCATTAGTATCTCTGAATTTTTACTAAAGCTATTTTAATCTTTGTAATTTTACTAAAATCTCACTTCACTCTTTTTGTCTTTAATTTTCATTAACCTCTTAACAATAGAAGAATAAACGAGTGATATTGCAATTTAACTTAAAATGTAAAGTAACTGATTGTCACAATTAAAAATAAAAAGATTAAAATAAAAAGAGTGTTACATGTAATTAACCCAAGAAAATTTATCTAAGTACCTCTGGGAATATTAATTATACTTAAGCCTCGTTTGGCCAGTGACCTTTTAGTTAAAAAGTCAAGAAGTCACTAAAAAAATAAAAATAAAAACTAACCACTTATATCAAAAAGCCAAAGATTTACTTTTCTTTTTACTTTTTGCATATCTTTTTGTAGAAAATTAAAAAGTCATCCTAAATATACTAATTTTTTTATATCATATTTTAATTAAAAAACTAAAAAGTTATTAAAAAAGTTTGCTCCCAAATGAAATCTTATTGGTGTGCATTTTTAATATTAAAGAGAAATATATTCACTTTTGTCTTATTTATTCTCCTATTATTTAGGAGAAATGATTTTTTTGTCTCCGTACTATCAAATGGGCATAATTATGGTGTGTTTGGTTAGACAGACTGGATAAGGGGGATTGTAATCTATCAGACTATTAGCCCTAGGATACATTGTTTCCAGACTATTTAGTTGGACTGAATTTGTATGCTATGTTTGTTTAGTCATGGGATTAGATGCCTGAATTAGACTATTTTTAGTAAATCTAATGTTTGTTTGGGATATTATGGAAAAAGATAAATGCTCAAATAACTATTTTATCTTTTTCAATTATTTACTAAGTAATAGCAATATTAAACATATCTTTAATATTTTAATTATTTTTAGCTAGATTAAATAAAAAATTATTTTATTTTATTTTTTGCACAATTAAATAAATTTATTTTTAAAAAATTAAATAAATTAAATATAAATAAAAATATATGTTATTTTTTAATTAAAATTTTAAATAAATTTATTTTAAATAATAATAATTAAATAAAATATAAAAAAATTAAAATAAAACGTCAATAAAATATCTATAAAAAATATTTTAAAAAATTAAATAAATAAAACAAAAATAAAAATTAAATTAAATTATTTATTTTTAAATTGAGACATTTAATTTTTTTTTGAATTTTACTAAATATAATATATAATTAAATACTAGAGGGCAAAAATGTAATTTCATTGGCTAATCTCATAGGATGAGTTATCCCATGGTTTCTATCTCACCCCCCCATGAGATAGGATAGTCCGACAAATATAGGACTAATAGTTCGGAGCAAAACTTTTGAAACAAACAATGGACTATTAGTCCGATGAGACTAATCATCCAATCTCACCCCTAATCCTTCAAAACAAACACACCCTAAGTGATAGGTCAAACATACCAAACAACCCCGTGTACATTTGGAAACTAAACAATTAAAGTTGGGTATCCCGTTTGGTTGGAGAGTTAGAAGGGGGATTGAGATTGGTAGTGAAATGGGACCCACTAATATTGTGTTTGTTTTGAGAGATAGAGAGGGGATTGATAGTGAGCTCCGGATTAGGATAGGCCTCCCCAAAGGAATTCGAATGGGCCTCCAGGACTTGGTATTAAAAAAATAGTCCGGCGGACTAGAAATTTTTTTTTTTATTTATTTTTTATTTTATTTTTTACATGTCGGGCATTTTTTTTTAACATTAATATTTAATTTTTTGTATTTTTTGTTAAGTAAAAATCATTATTTTATTTGTTTTATTTTTTTGAAATTTTTTTATTTTATTTTTATTTTATAAATTTTTTTTACATGTTGGGCATTTTTTTTAAAACATTAATGTTTAATGTTTTTGTATTTTTTTTTATTTTTTTTATTATTTTATATTTATTTTATATAAAAACAATTTAACAATCTCTACACTAACAACTATTATCAAAACAAACACAATTTTACTTAATTCCCTCACTATCAATTCCCTTCATTCTACCTCTAAAAATAAAGGCGGCCTTGGAGCGTACTACAGATTGTATTCTGATCGTTCAATTTATTTATTTCAAAAATGCTAGGCGCCTTAAAAATTTTATCAAAATACATTAGTGTAAAATTTATATAAAATTTATAATAACATATTTAAGATCTCTAATATTGTCCTATTTATTTTATACGGTGAGCGAAAGAAATCAGAGTAAGGTGCGAGTGAGGTAGGTGGGACTCCCTTGTCAAATGTTGAGAGTAAAATGTATAAAAAAAATACGGAGATCCCTCTCTCTCCTTTCTCTAGAAGAAAATGCCATCACTACAGTGTAGGCGTCGCGATTTACTTGCGATTGAAGAATCTCTAATTTATCATCTGTGTATTAAATTGGTGGATTGAAAAAAAATTAATCTGCAATTGTTTGTTAGATTGACGGATGCAGATTGAGTAGTTTGGCGAATTAATGAATGAACGCGAATCGATTTGGTAGTTTAAATTTTTATAAATTTTGAACATAATACAACTTGTCAATATTTTTTTTTAGACAAAAATCCAATTTAACATAACTAATAGATTATCAAGTAAATTGTCTAATACCAATAATAAATACATGAGAGGGTAATTTGTGAGCAAATTGGGCCGAGCTAGGACGAGTCTTCTTTGGAAGTTGGGTCGCACAATGGGCCAAGGAAATATTTTATATTTCGGCTTTGGGATAGGTACCAGGACGGTTGGATGTGTTGCCGGGATTGGGACCTATTTACCTTTTGACCGGGATGATGACAGGGCGATGGGCCGAGCTAGGTGTAGCTCGGCAAGATACCAACCTGTAGCATGATCATCACGGCTCGCCCATGTTGAGCACGGAGCCGAGGTAACATCAATGGCGAGGGTCGAGCTGTGTATAACTCGGCAGGGTGGCATTCGATAGATCGACTTTCGATCACACGGTCCGAATGGCAGGAGACCGAGATAAGGCAGTTCGGTCAGGAATGTATAACCGAGGTAAAGGATTCAGCCATCTCACTTGGCTTGCAGTGATGAGACTCCTAGGAGGACTCTGCTAAGAAGAGTTAGAGTCCTATTGGGATTGTGCAAACCATCTCACTTGGTTGGTAGTGAGTAGGAGTGTGACTCCTATGAGGACTCTGCTAAGGAGAGTAAAGTCCCTACTAGGATTGTGCAAACCATCTCACTTGGTTAGTAGTGAATAGGGTGTGTGATTCCTAGAAGGACTCTTATAAGGAGAGTTGGAATCTTACTAGGATTGTGCCAAGTAAAGTCTATAAAAGCTCATGACCAGACCTATGTACAGGTATCCCAATTCTTACTCAAGAATACACAGAGCTTATTGTCTATTGTTTAGTTGTTGACTTAAGCATCGGAGGAGTTTCCGGCACACACCCACCGGTTAGCTCACGTTTGTATCTTCAGGTGGCAAAGCGAAGATGTTTGGAGGAGTGCAAACTTGATCAACAGGATTATACGAGAAGAATTATTTCCTGCTCGTACAATTGGCGCAGTCTGTGGGAATTTTCACAAAGAGCAAAACCTCTTGATCAAGTTTTCCTCTTTAGTTGAAAGCAATGGCGCGCAATGAAGACTTGCCGCAATCTGCTATTGATGGGCAAACACTGGAAGGGGTGGGAGGCGCAAAGGTTTACCTTCTATCCCACCCATGGTGGAATTAGATCCCCAACAAAGGAATCCTCAGAGAGAAACGAGAGAAAGACAGGGCTTAAGTCCACACCGCTCTCAAAGCCTTGATAGACAGAGGCGGAAGATGGATCCTCAGGTTCTCGAAGATCACGTAAGGGAGTAAGACGAAGTAATAAATAGAATGGCGGCTGACATAGAGTCTATGAAGAGCTGGATAAAAGGCAAAGGGGTGGCAATAAAAGAGGGGCGCAAAGGTAACACACACTCTTGCCACTCAGAAGATCGTGACAGACAAGTCACACCATCACAAACTGAAAGTAGAAACCTCAGGTCGGGCGATACACAATCAAAGACTTCTAGGACACGCTACTCTAGGCCTGAGAGAATGAGTACTAAAAAGGCTCGAAGGAGAGAAGACACTCAGGCTCGCGACCCCCGCAGAGTTTCCGCACTACAACGATTGGCTCCTAGAACACATGGGAGTGTCGAGGTTGGCATTCCAGAGCCACGCCTTGCTTATGAACCAACTAACAAAGCGTTATCAAGGTTACAGAGCTCACCGTTCATTCCAACAATAAAGAACGCACCATTACCCTTAGGCTTCCACTAGCCCAAATTCACTACTTATGAGGGGAAGTCGGACCCCTACATACACTTAAGCCACTTTTTCCAGGCTATGGCCGTGTATCGGCGAAATGAGACTCTAATGTGTATCATGTTTCCTTCTAGCCTTGGTGACCTAGGTTTAGCGTGGTTTGAAAGGTTTCCAGAAGGTAGCATAGCTTTGTGGGCGCAACTAGCAGAGGCATTTGTGACCAGATTGAGAGCGAACACCAAGACACCAGTGGAGATTGACCAGCTTCTCTCCATAGACATGGACAAGAAAGAAACATTGAGGTCTTATAATAATCGGTATTGAGAGACTTTTAATCAGATTGGAGATTGCCCTACAAACCTAGCTATCGCACAGTACAAACGAGGTTTGCCGGTTGGCAATAAGTTGAGGGATTCAATGACAATAACGCTGCCCCTTACTATGGAAGCCCTAATGGAGAGAGTGCACCAACACATCCGGGTAGAGGAAGATAGGGCGCACATCGAGGAAGAGTCCGGCACAACAGCGATACCAAACAAAAAGCCTTTGGCGAGAGTTAACACGGTTGACAAGTAGGACCGACCGTGCAAGAGTCTTTGCCTGACTGGGGGGCAATTAAGAAGTTTGGCCGGAATAACCAAACATTTAGCTCTCTTCAGCCGAGATCAGGATCTAGGTTGAAGAACGTTGGCCGAAATAACCAACTTTGAGCTCTCTTCAGCCGAGATCAGGATCTAGGCTGAAGAGGTTGGCCGGAATAACCAACACCTAGCTCTAGGTTGGCAGGAATAACCAACTTTGAGCTCTCTTTAGCCGAGATCAGGATCTAGGCTGAAGAGGTTGGCCGGAATAACCAACACCTTGCTCTAGGTTGGCAGGAATAACCAACTTTGAGCTTTCTTTAGTCAAGATCAGGATCTAGGCTGAAGAAGTTTGGCAGGAATAACCAAACATTTAGCTCTCTTTAGCCGAGATAAGGATCTAGGCTGAAGAGTGGTTAGCTGGAAAAACCAACACTTTCCTAAGCCGAGATAAGGATCTAGACTGCAGGAAGTTGACAGGTATGACCAACAAAACTTTTTTGCACCCTTTAGCTAAGATCAGGATCTAGGCTAAAGGTGGTTGGCAGGTATGACCAACAAAACTTTTACACTCTTTGGAGATGATTGCGTTTGGAGCAAAGAACGTTACGGAGGAAGAAGTGGTGGCGCGTGGGGTTCACGCTCCTCCGGATTGGAGGAGGTATAGAGGTGTGAGGAGACGGCCATGGGGAAAGTTTGCAGCGGAGATAAGGGACCCTATGAGAAAAGGTATTAGGGTTTGGCTCGGGACATACGAGACACCTGAGGATGCTGCAATGGCTTATGACCAAGCTGCATTTAAAATGCGAGGCTCCCGTGCTAAGCTTAATTTTCCGCACCTTATCGGCTCCGATAAATCTGAGCCGGTAAGAGTGAGTATGAGGCAGCGGCGGTCACTAGAGGCTTCATCATCATATTCTTCGTCGGAAAGTGAATCCCCAAAGCGGAGGAAATGCGTGGTTGGGTAGCGCCGGCCGTGGTTAAATCCGAGTTGCATAGTAATTGTGTTGGAAGTGAACACATCAGTTACTTGTAAATTCTTCAATAATAAATCTAGCTATCCCGGAGAACAAAACCAGAATATGCCTCAAAATATTGGAGTGTGTTATGAGAAACGTGTATTGATGAATTTGGATCACAGATTAATATTTTAAAGATAATTTAAATAAAATTCTGAATTTATAGCTTTAGTGATTGATTCTATGAAGATGGCAAGCATTGTACTTTGGTTTATGTTTGGAGAGGTTACTAGCAAAAATATATTTTCTAAAGGAATTGTCTCTCATCTCAGAAAAATGGGTAAAAGATGCCAAGCATTGTACTTTGGTTTATGTTTGGAGAGGTTACTGACAAAAATATATTTTCTAAAGGAATTAATTGTCTTCCATCTAAGAAAAATGGGTTACATTTTACCGTTAGCACCTTTGTATTTTTATTATAATTTTATTTTACTTGTTTCATTTCTAATTATGACAATTATTTATTTGTATTTGAAATCAATTTACAATGTGACCATTCAGTTTATCTACCTTTAATTAGACTGATCGAATGTATTTGTTAATTTTTAACGACAATTTGAAAATTATCACAAAAATATCACTATTTATAAGTTTTAGTGACAATTTAAAAAAATCGTCGCAGAAAAACGTCACTATTGTAAGTTTTAGCGACAATTTATAAAAATCATGACAAAAAAAGCCACTAATTGTTAATTTTTCGCGATATATGCAAAAAATATAACACAAAAAATTATTTTTAGGGACAATTTTAAATGGATGTATTTTTAATAGAATTTGATTGGATTTAAGTCCAACTATTACTACAAGAAAATGCACATTTGCCGACCAATTTTGGTGACTAAAACATTTTTAGTCGCCAAAAGTATAATTTTTGGCGACTAAAATTTAATTTGGTCGGCATTGGTTCAATATTTACCTACTAAACTTTTTTAGTCGATAAATATTTGCAATTGGCGACTAAATTTAAATTTAGTCGGCAAAAATTAAATTTTTCAGCGACTAAATAGGATATTAGTCACTGTTAGTGTACAATTTAGCCTAAAAAAATAAATAATCTGTAATATTTCTTTTTCCTGACTAAAATAGTACTTAGTTGCGAAATAGGAATTTTAGCGACCAAAAATTTCGTCGTTGTTGAGTGATAATTCATTACTTTCCCGACTAAGTTCAAAATTGGTCGGCAAAGGTTCAAATTTCAACTCGAATTTACAATGTGACCATTCAGTTTATCTACCTTTAATTAGACTGATCGAATGTATCATGTAAACTAAACATACACTTTTTCTTCTCATTAGTATCTCTGAATTTTTACTAAAATGTTATTTTAGTCTTTGTAATTTTACTAAAATCTCACTTCACCCTTTTTGTCTTTAATTTTCATTAACCTCTTAACAATAGAAGAATAAACGAGTGATATTGCAATTTAGCTTAAAATGTAAAGTAATTGATTGTCACAATTAAAAATAAAAAGATTAAAATAAAAAGAGTGTTACATGTAATTAACCCTAGAAAATTTATCTAAGTACCTCTGCAAATATTAATTACACTTAAGCCTCGTTTGACAAGTGACTTTTTAGTTAAAAAGTCAAAAAGTCACTAAAAAAATAAAAAAACTAACCACTTATATTAAAAGTCAAAGTTTTCTTTTTATTCTGTGCATATCTTTTTGTAAAAAATTAAAAGGTCATCCTAAATATACTATTTTTTTTATATCATATTTTAGTTAAAAAACCAAAAAATTATTAAAAAAGTTTGCTCCCAAATGAAATCTTATTAGTGAGGAGAAATATATTCACTTTTGTCTTATTTATTCTCCTATTATTTAGGAGAAATGATTTTTTTGTCTTCGTACTATCAAATGGGCACAATTAGGCTGTATTTGGTTGGACAGATTGGATAAAAGAGGTTGTAATCCATCGGACTATTAATCTTAGGATATATTGTTTCCGTACTATTTAGTTAGACTGAATTTGTATGCTATGTTTGTTTAGTCATGGGATTAGATGTCTGGATTGGACTATTTTTAGTGAATCTAATGTTTGTTTGGGATATTATGGAAAAAGATAAATGCTCAAATGACTATTTTATCTTTTTTAATTATTTACTAAGTAATAGCAATATTAAACATAGCTTTAATATTTTAATTACTTTTAGCTAGATTAAATAAAAATTTATTTATTTTATTTTTTGCACAATTAAATAAATTTATTTTTAAAAAATTAAATAAATTAAATATAAATATAAATATATGTTATTTTTTAATTAAAATTTTAAATAAATTTATTTTAAATAATAGTAATTAAATAAAATATAAACAAAATTTTAAAATAAAACATCAATAAAATATCTATAAAAAATATTTTAAAAAATTAAATAAATAAAACAAAAATAAAAATTAAATAAAATTATTTTATTTTTAAATTGAGACATTTAATTTTTTTTGAATTTTACTAAATATAATACATAATTAAATACTAAAGGGCAAAAATGTAATTTCATTAGCTAATCTCATGGGATGAGTTATCCCATGGTTTCTATCTCAACCCCCCCCCATGAGATAGGATAATCCCACAAATATGAGACTAATAGTCCGGAGCAAAACTTTTGAAACAAACAATGGACTATTAGTCCGATGGACTAATAGTCCAATCTCACCCCATAATCCTTCAAAACAAACACACCCTAGGTGATAGGTCAAACATACCAAATAACCCCGTGTACACTTGGAAACTAAACAATTAAAGTTGGGTATCCCATTTGGTTGGAGAGTTAGAGGGGGGATTAAAATTTGTAGTGAAATGGAACCTACTAATATTGTGTTTGTTTTGAGAGATAGAGAGGGGATTGATAGTGAGCTCCGGATTAGGATAGGCCTCCCCAAAGGGATTCGGATGGGCCTCCAGGACTTGATATTAGAAAAATAGTCCAGCAGACTAAAAAATTTTTTTTTATTTATTTTTTATTTTATTTTTTACATGTCAGGCATTTTTTTTTAACATTAATGTTTAATTTTTTGTATTTTTTGTTAAGTAAAAATCATTATTTTATTTGTTTTATTTTTTTTCTGGAAATTTTTTATTTTATTGTTATTTTTTTAAATTTTTTTTCATGTTAGACATTTTTTTTAAAACATTAATGTTTAATGTTTTTGTATTTTTTTTATTTATTTTATTTTATTATTTTATATTTATTTTATATAAAAATAATTTAACAATCTCTACACTAACAATTATCATCAAAACAAACACAATTTTACTTAATTCCCTCACTATCAATCTCCTTCATTCTACCTCTGAAAACAAACGCGGCCTTGGGGCGTACTACAAATTGTATTCTAATCGTTCAATTTATTTATTTCAAAAATGCTAGGCGCCTTAAAAATTTTATCAAAATATATAAGGGTGAAATTTATATAAAATTTATATTATAAATAAAATTTTTAATAACATATTTAAGATCTCTAATATTATCCTTTTTATTTTATACAGTGAGCGAAAGAAATCAGAGTAAAGTGCGAGTGAGGTAGGTGGGACTCCCTTGTCAAATGTTGAGAGTAAATTGTATAAAAAAATATGGGAGATCCCTCTCTCTCCTTTCTCTAGAAGAAAATGCCATCACTACAGTGTAGGCGTCGCGATTAACTTGCGATTGAAGAATCTCTAATTTATCATCTGTGTATTAAATTGGTGGATTAAAAAAAAATTAATCTGCATTTGTTTGTCAGATTGACGGATGTAGATTGAGTAGATTGACGAATTAATGGATGAACGCGAATCGATTTGATAGTTTAAACTTTTATAAATTTTGAACATAATACAACTTATCAATATTTTTTTTTAGACAAAAATCCAATTTAACATAACTAATAGATTATCAAGTAAATTGTCTAATACCAATAATAAATACATGACAGGGTAATTTGTGAGCAAATTGGGCCGAGTTAGGACGAGTCTTCTTTGGAAGTTGGGCCGCGCAATGGGCCAAGGAGATATTTTATATTTCGGCTTTGGGCCGAGATAGGTACCAGGACGGTTGGATGTGTTGTTGGGATTGGGACCTATTTACCTTCTAACCGGGATGATGGCAGGGTGATAGGCCGAGTTAGGTGCAGCTCGGCAGGATATCAACCTGTAGCATGATCATCACGGCTCACCCATGTTGAGCACGGAGCCGAGGTAACATCAATGGCGAGAGCCGAGCTGTGTATAGCTTGGTAGGGTGGCATTCGATAGATCGGCTTTCGATCACACTGTCCGAATGACAGGAGACCGAGATAAGATAGTTCGGTCAGGAATGTATAACCGAGGTAAAGGATTCAGCCATTTCACTTGGCTTGCAGTGATGAGACTCCTAGGAGGACTCTGCTAAGGAGAGTTAGAGTCCTACTGGGATTGTACAAACCATTTCACTTGGTTGGTAGTGAGTAGAAGTGTGACTCCTAGGAGGACTCTGCTAAGGAGAGTAAAGTCCCTACTAGGATTGTGCAAACCATCTTACTTGGTTAGTAGTGAGTAGGGTGTGTGATTCCTAGAATGACACTTATAAGGAGAGTTGGAATCTTACTAGGATTGTGCCAAGTAAAGTCTATAAAAGCTCATGACCAGACCTATGTACAGGTATCCTAATTCTTACTCAAGAATACATAGAGCTTATTGTCTACTGTCTAGTTGCTGACTTAAGCATCGGAGGGGTTTCCGGCACACACCCGTCGGTTAGCTCACGTTTGTATTTTCAGGTGGCAAAGCGAAGATGTTTGGAGGAGTGCAAACTTGATCAACAGGATTATACGAGAAGAATTATTTCGTGCTCGTACAATTGGCGCAGTCTATGGGAATTTTCACAAAGAGAAAAACCTCTTGATCAAGTTTTCCTCTTTAGTGGAAAGTAATGGCACACAATGAAGACTTGCCGCAATCTGCTATTAATGGGCAAACATCGGAAGGGGTGGG